ACACCCTTAAAGTTGATTTACCTAACTCAATCAGGTAACGGTTATCTAAAAGCGTATTTTTCGAATCCATTTTCATAATCTGGCATGTCCCTTATTTTCAATCTGATCGGTTAAGCATTTGAGCGATCAGGTGCTAGATTGAAATTCACATTTTAACTATTACTAGTGAACCCGTGAGGCTCAACGCGCCGCAAAAATACATACATGAATTTAGAAAACAAATTCTTACTGTCATATATTGACTCTGAGTCGAAAATAAAATACAGTAATGAATGAAGCCTTAGAAGGAAAGCAGTCCATCAATTTTCTAGCTCCATATGTCTTATATTTAGTAAATTAATAAGCTATCAAGTATTTCATAGTTATTTTAAGATTTTATAACACATTGAATAAAACATTTTAATAAAACCAATATGTAGCATATTTGAAGAACATAAAAATGCTTCTTGAAGAAACCCCTTTTAAAAATAAACACAAAAAACCTATTCTATTGACAACAGTACTTCCTTGAATTAACTTACTAAGTTTTTATATGTGAAATCACCTTCAGGAAGATTACCCTGGTCAGAATTTTCCGTGATGAATATGTGTACACCATCAAATATGTAGCCCTACTTAAAGCAACACATAGTTGCCCATGACTGAAAACTGGTCTGGGCAAGAACAGTACTACTCTTTTAAGTGATTGCCCTTGTGCTTTATTGATTGTCATTGCAAATGACAAAGCTTATGGAAATTGGCATCTTCCCATTTAAAATGTTAAGTTTGTTTCCGACGGGCACATTTTTATTCTCGGAATCAAAATATGTCCCCCCGCACTTGTTCTAGTTAGGACTTTCAAACACACACATTCTATTAAATTGTTACCGGTAACCATTTTGGTCACTTGGAGCCTTGTTCCATTAATGAGGCTCTTTGGTGTATTGATATTCCTCATCAATAAAACCACACTGCCCCCTTGTTTAAAATCAATCTGTGCCTTGGCAATCCACTGACCTCTATATTGTTTAAAAACTCTGTTGGACATTCTAGATGTGTGTTTAAATTATCTGCAAGCAAACTATCAATGCTTTCGTACACCTTGGGCTCACCTGGCAATTTATCCAAAACTTTGTTGTTGATCAAACCACAGACACTGTTTTTGGAGCTAAAATAGCTTTGTCTTTTATTTGACCATTTTGTATACTTTCAACGACGTTTGGGTGGATGAAATCAACAGGGCATCCAACTCCAAGCAATCTTGCTGGCAAAATAAGGAATCAATTAGCTTTAGCCTATTTTGACTCTTTTATTTTCTACTTATGCATGTATTGCGTCATGAAGGTTCATATAGCTCTGCTCGAAGTTTTGGCTGTTCCCTAAACCGAGACGTTCACCTTCAATTCTCATAAAAATTTCAACTATATATTGAAGTGTAACCTTACCACAACAGCAGAATACTGAAGTCTAACAGATAGCCTGTGAGCCGCGAACTGCAAATGTGTAACAGCGTTCCAGTGTGTAGTTGCCCGATCAATCAGTGTGTAAGGCTATTGGATCAAGACCTGAAGAGTGTACAGCCAAATCTTTTAAGGTTCCACTTTTAGGATACACAACAATTAATAAAAAATACCCCCGCCGCAGCAAACCTGCAGACTTAGCGAATTTCCATTTGCCTGATTGGATTTAAACTAAAATGTCTCCTTAAAAATATCACATTTATTCCCTATTTAAACAGAATTAGTTTAATGAGTACTTAGGTTTGCTGCAACAGGGAGGGTAAAAAAGTTTTTTTTATGTATAATATTAAAAGGTACTGTGGTTTAGTAAGAAATTAATGTATTTTCCAACTTTAATCAAAATATGTTCATAAACAAGCAAACTACAACAGTTGACTTATTGTCCATAATAATAACATGGGAATTTTAAAATTACAATTTTTTTGAATTTTCTCCGTAACAATTAGGCGCATAATAATGCTTCAATATACTAAATTATTTGTTTTTTTAAGCTCTACAAAATGGTTTAAAAAGAAATAGTGAAATTTTGTGTTTTTAGGGTCAAAAATGGGAAAAACCCATTTTTACCCCATAAAACCCCCCATAAACCCCCGTTTCCATTGTCCGATCATGCTGGTTCGCGAACTCATTCAAGTTTATCCCGCCTTACACCTTCTAACCAAATTTTATCAAAATCGGACAGAAATTACTCAAGTTATCGTGCGGATGGACACACATATATATATATATGATAACTTGAGTAATTTCTGTCCGATTTTGATAAAATTTGGTTTAAACTGTTAATAATATATATATATATATATATTAATATATATAATAATATTAATATATATATATTATATATATATATATCTCTATATATAGATATATAAAAATTTGAACGAATGGTGTTTTTGGCCTCTGGGGACATCAAAATGAAAAAGTAAATCGGTCCCGGGCTTAGGTCTTACCATGAGACCTACGGTAATAGCTACCTACTTCCCTATAGGGAAATTCGCTAAAACATATTTTTGTATAGAAACAAACTTGAAGTAGAAGATTTGTTTTGTTTTGATTTATAAATAAATTGTCTGGTAGATCAGCTGTTTCATGTCAAATTAATGATTGTCAAAGATTTGTGATTTTGAATGTTACAGTACAGTTTTGTAAATCATGGTAACTTATTCTCAACTAAATTTTACTATTCTTCACATTAAAATAAAGTAGTATGATCTATTATGAGTACACTTTAAGGTATCCAAAACATGATTAAACTTAATATACATTTACAGGTATAATACACACCGATTTCTTATGTAGTAGACTTTGACTATTTTCAACCAAAAACATATGTTTTTATAAATAAAAATTATCTCCCATGTTATCCTTATGGAGAAAAAACTGACTTTAAGGGCCTCTGACGCCCTTACCAACGACTTTATAAAAAATCTAATATCGTTGGGCACAACTATACGTTTTAACCTTCAAAACCAAACCTCAAACGTCAAAATCGGGCTAATAATAACAGAGGAGTTTGATTAACAAAAAACGGCTTAGCCTATTATATATATATATAGAATATATAGATATAGATAGATGTAGAAAAATTGTCAGCATAATTAAATCTCTGAAAGTGAATTGTAGAAAAAAATCAAACGTTAGAGGGCTCTAAAGGAAATCCCCTTTTGGTTTTACCATTCATCACTACTAGATCATAAGCTTAAAATTACACCTGAATATTAAAAATCGGTTAAGCGAGACGGCTGAAAGAAGGAATGAAACATTTTAATGGAATGATCCACAATGCATCAATGAAAAAATCCGTTTTTTATGTAGTATGGTGCAATTGTCTACATAGGACAGATAACACACTCATATTGAAATGAGGCAGCGAGTAGGTCTATAATGAGACAAATTCAACACTTACAACGGTAATTACTGCGCTGCAGGCCACAGTCATTGGCAATGTTGTATGTGGTTGCACGTCGATATAATCGCCAGCGAGCGAAACACATTTGGCACCCGCTGCGACATCCGAGGTCAACTATTGGTATCGGGCGGAGTTACGTTATTGATTACGTTGTTCATAAATTACACGATTCTATTTTTCATGCACAAAATAGTTGTAATATGACCAGTAAACAGTATTGAACTAAAAAAGGGAAAACAGTATTTCCCCCGAAGATAATTGAACAGGTTCATTTAAAGTGTATTTTATAAATCAGTGCTGTTATTTCCTAAGAACATTAAGGTAGAACAATAGCTGAGCAGAAGAAAAGAACGCGTCGTCTCTTCGGCCTAAAGACAGCACTGTTAGGGACCGTATCCCGCCAAGGCTGGTGTGCGAGTAAACATTTGATTATGTCAAAGGAAGTGATGAATGTGTCCCAAAATTTCGGGAGATTTTTAGGGAACATATATGTTTTTCTTCAAGATAGGATTACATTAAAACTGTGATTTTCTCGGCACAGGATTTGTTTCAACCGTCAGAGATTTTGCAGCGTCACGAGTGACAACGATGACGTCTCCATGAAAGCGATAGATTTTCACTAATGTTATGATCACGGGACATGTTATTGGACACCGTGATCGCAGGAGATGGTCACGCTTTCACCGCGATCGCGGGAGGTGTCCATGATTTTCCACTATTACGGAAATCGCTGAATATGTCCTCCGTGATCGTGGAGGATTTTCACGATGTCGTCGCACCCGCGATCACGTATGAGGACCATGCCATGATCACAAAGTCTGATGACAAAGTCTATTTTCGACTGATGTTCAACAGTTAAATTGAACGAGATATGTAATTTTTTGACGAACAGTTTTTATTACTCGATATTTTAACTACATTAGTTTTTATAAATAATATTTTACTTCTCATAACTGCCATGTGAAAGAATCTTTTCTCGTGATTTACAAACCCTTTAAGCACTCGGTGGTGAAGAATCCCTCCCCATTCCTGTCCCAAAAAATCAATAAGGAAGTAGAAATTCCGTTCCGTCCATTCCTACATTTTATCTGATAAAATGTTTACAAACTTATGCAATTGCAGATAAGTATAAATAGTATAATTGTAGTAGTGCTGTACAATCCGAGTTCACATTTCTGGCGTATTGTGTAAATAAATAGCGGTTGAGTTGAATTTCAAATGTTTTTATTGTGTTTTTGTGAATAAATGTATGCAAAATTTGAAAACAAAAGATATAAAGTTGGAATAATGCATATTATTAGAGATTTTAGAAAATTCGCTTGTATTCGTATCTCTTTAGTGGAAACTATTTCGGGTCTTTCTGGGTCACATGCGATTAACCAACAACAATTAATAAAAATACATTTTATATTTTATATCCGTAGCGTTTCTTAAATTATTTTCTATCGGATTAAACATTTAACTTTTCAGTTTAGATTGGCATGAGCAAACCCAAGACGGGTTGTGTTATTCCTCTATGAAACCACTAACAAGATCTGGCTATGATCCATCCCAAAGCATTGAGAATTTTCTATCGATTTTCGTACACATACAGTAGTCGCTGTGTTCCATGGTCCTCCCAATAATTCTACAACGTCGATTCCAACAATTATCAGTTTCCCAGGATGAGTCTCCCTTAGCTTTTCCACCCGTGGAGGCGTCATCCCTATATCAACAATACGTGTAGCCATGATTAATAACACATTGGACAGTAACAAAGAAAACATAAGTTGAACGCACGCGTTTCCACTCAATATACGACCCCTGGCGCATTATAATTGGCGGGAGTACATTAGCAGCGCGTGCAGCAAGGAAATGGCGGGAACGTGCAGAGCTTCGGATGTCTTTGGATTAGTCATGCAGCATCCACCCAGCCCCTGCCATTGTTGCCACCCGTCCCTATTTATTACCAAAACACTGACAAGTTCAGTGGGAATTCCATTGTATTCTACTTCTAAGGGTCTTCGATTTTGAGGCGTTGTATTGGGGAACTTTCAAACGGGGGCTTCGATTGTACAGTCTTTTCCGAAGAAGATCAGAACTGTTTTCTTTGTAGGACATTGAATGTTTTATTGAAATATTGAAGGATTAGGTAGTACAAAACTGCAACCAAGAGCCTTTGGGCTTTACGCAGGGTTTGTTTATAGCGAATTCCCCTATAGGGAAGAAACTACTACCGTTAGGTGGCACGGAAAAGCCTTGGCCGGAGCTGACTAACTTTTGCGTTTTTATGTCCCCAGAAGCCAAAAATCAATATTCGAACAAATTTTCATATATTTTGTATATACATGCGTGTTTACGAAAACGATAACTCAATCAATTTTATTCCGATTTAAATTTAACTAACATACCTGTTGCTCGAAATCGAGCAATTGTCAAGTACCGGTATTGCTATTTTAAAACTAACAACAGTTATATTTTTTATGAGTTTAAAATACAAAGCTTATTTAACTAATGGAAATACTCTGGCCTCAGCATCAGCAGATGGAAATTAACAAATTGCCTAGGTTTTCTCACCTTTTTTCCATTATAATAATGCTTACGGCAATTAAATTATCCAGCTGACCATAACGAAAACAAATAATCAACGATAACATGGAAATATCAAAAGCCACTAGGGCAGAGCCCAGGAGACCTTTTCAACATGAAAGACCTTAGATAACATCTACTCAATGAGATCTTTCCAATCTGCCATAAACTAACAAAACCGGTTGCGAAACTATGGATGAGTTCTGCCGACAAAAATCGTGCTTGCCTATTTTATACATAGATTTGTGATTAAGCTGTAGGGCTGCATAAACTTGATTCGCGGAAAACCAGCAGATTTCTGTGATGAGACCATAGTATTATGGGGTTTTGAAATTTCGCATAAATTAGTTTACTCAATTTTTGAGCTCTTTAAACATGTAAATGTCCAATTCTTAGCTAATTTCCCTACAGGGTAACACCTATACCCATTTAAACACAAAACAAAACACTATTCGTTAAAATATATTTTATATGTATACAAGTTACTATTCAGCGTTCCTTTTCATGTTTTATAATCGATGATTCATCTAAATATAAAAATAAGAAGGATTTTCACTTTTGAAAACCGTAGGTTGTACACCCATCAACACTTAAATGAAAGGTTGCGAAGTGAAACTTTCCCGAAAAATATCAGTTTTCGATTAACCCTCTCCTAAGGGCACGAGCCTCAATTAAGGGGCTGTATTTACTCACATTTAAAATATCAATGAAACATCAGATGTTGTTTTTTTTTGTTTTAGTTTGTTTGTTTACTTTTCCTTGAGTTAACCTTTTTACCTTAACTTTGCATCTAACATTGCATCAAGAGAAGTGACAATAAGTTTTTCTTGTTATATTTAATAGTGTTCAAAGCTTTGAATTCTATTTCAATTGTTTACTTTTAAATTCAGTATTATATATATTTAAATACCCCCGCCGCAGCAAACCTGCAGACTAAGCGAATTTCCATTTGACTGATTGGATTTACACTGAAATGTCTACTTAAAAATATAACATTTATTCTTGATTTAAATATAATTAGTTTAACAAGTACTTAGGTTTGCTGCATCAGGGAGGGTAAAACGGGTTTTAAAAACATTTTCCAAATTTGATCAAAATATGTTCACAAACAAGCAAACTACAACAGTTTACTTATTCTCCATAAGAATAACATGGGAATTTTAAATTTACATTTTTTTGGAATTTTCTCCGTAACCATTAGGCGCATAACAACGCTTCAATATACTAAATTATTTGTTTTTTTTTAAGCTCTACAAAATGGTTTGGAAACTTTTTGGAAAAAAAAAATTTTTTTTGGAAAGAAATTGCTAAATGTTATGTTTTTTGGGTCAAAAATGGGAAAAACCTATTTTTACCCCATAAAACCCCCCGTAAACCCCCGTTCCCATGGTCCGATCATGCTGGATCGCGAACTCGTTCGAATAAACGTACGTTTACACGTTCGTACCAAATTTCATCAAAATCGGATCATTTTTGCTCGAGTTATCGTGCTGACGGACATATATATATATATATATATATATATGAATTTGAATGGATGGTGTTTTTGGCCTCTAGGGACCTCAAAACGAAAAAAAAATCGGTCCCGCGTCCAGGTCTTACCATGAGTACTACGGTAATAGCTTATTCCCTATATGGGAAATTCGCTAAAACACAGAAATTATTGATGCTGCAGAACAATTTTGTATAATTAAGTGACATAAGATTCATATGAACCACTGAGTTTGGACGAATACTTGCCTAATGTACATCAGCTGCGGAAAAAAGCCCATCTGTAGAGTATTTTTCCGTGTGACATGGACATTGATAAAATTAATTTTCGCTACACTACTGTGAAATAACCTGTTTTAGTTACATGTTCATCACCTGCAAAAATTCATTATTACATTGTTTACTACGGGAAAAGAATGTTTACTATGCAAAAATAATGTTTACTACCTTTTTTGGATTTTTCCGACGTAAACAAACAAAGATTTGCTATTGTTTTGTCATCTGTTTTAAATTTTCAACAACCAAAGTATTATAAATACTGTAGGAACTTTAAATTTTAGGCATTACCTAAAAATGCTATGAGTTTTGTCATGTTCCTAATTGGTATAATTGAGTATGGTGTATACCTTTTATTCTGTGAATAACTTTAAATGCTTTAACTCTTTACATAATCTAAAAGACTAAAAAGCAACCAATATGCTCTAAACCAAGCCCAAAGTTGCTCGCCCCTGAGACGCCTGATATGGTAAACAGCGCCCCCTGAGGTGAGCGCCACATTAGGGGCTATAAATAAATATTGTGTCCTCCGCCGCAGCCCAGCCATTAGTACATTAGCACCCCGCCCCACCCCGTACAGGGTGGAACACCTTCCAATCACTTATTGTTCGTCAATATCTCCAATACTCCATCCGTCACATCTGCCTCTGCCACGGCGATCAGGCGGGAAACGTTTATCGAAGGCGTTTGGCAAGAAAGATAAATTTATAGAACTTTTCACTCATCTTTGGTACGTAGGGGCTGCGAAGACCAAAGTGGTAGAATAGTAGTGGATTAACATTTTAATTCTCAGATTTCCTATAATTTCCTATTGAATACCTAGTATGGCAACTAGTCTAAAAAATGCCTATTAATGGTTACAAACTCAGTATGCTATTGGCATAAATAAATCAAAATAACAGGGAAATATCTTGAAATGTTAGAAAATGAAAGTGTGTCTTTTATAGGCATATAAAAAATATAAGTGCTTGCCAAGTAAATTTTATAGTGGAGTCAAGTAATGTGACCAAATAAATAAGTACTTGCAAAAGTAAATTAATTGTAACCGTTTCCTGTTGGAGAAGATGTCAATAGATTATACATCGATTAGATTTTGAATAAGTAGCAAAATAATGTATGTAAATGAACTTTCTACATGTATTGAAGCTGCTTGATCTGACCTGTTTTGGAAGACGCTCTAAGGGTTTCGGACAGGGACGATGAGAAGTAGGAGTTTTTGGATCCGGGACTTAGGCCTGGAACAGATAAACATTATTATCATCATGAAGCACTTATAATTGTTTAATGTTAATACGTGTAACACAAAAATAGTAGTACTGAAGTGCTGGATGCGGAAATAGAGTTATCAAAAGCTGTAGTGTCAAATAGAAGTAGGTAATAAAAAGTATAGTAACCAAGCAGACAACAATAATTGAGGAGTTCTTTGAGCTTGGTTAAAAAGTTTGTGTTTACAACAAAAATGACATTACCTAATTTACAGCATCAACCTCTGCTTTATTTTTAAAATTATAAAAATGGCTTCATATTTAATCTAGTATTTAGAAGTACTATATTTGAATGTGTTAAATGAATGTTGGATGTGTAGAACTAGACATTATTTTAATGTTTAGCACCTACAAAAACCGCATAATCAATAAAATCTCAACGTTGTCTGAAAATACTGCAAATTTCGAACCAAAAGCTACGTAGGGTTGAAACAAGCGGTAACCGAGAACTCCTGTATAATTACACAAGATGACTATGACAGTCGGTATCCTAGCAACGCCTTATCAGACACACACGTTCAAGCGTCTACACACATACACACACACACGCTGGGCCAACTTTGTCACCAGGACTTTACCTCACAAATTGCATGGAGACAGTATCAGTATCAGGGGTTGTAACGCCCCAACCCCCACTCAAACTTAGGGGAGAACTCTACTCGGAGATTTCGTTCAGATATCAGCTCCAGAGCCTGGCCATTGAATGTGTTTCGGAATACTGGGAATACTGATTCTCATGTTATATACGATTCTCTGTGTAGCTGGAATTCATGTTTTTGGTGTGTATTTGACCCAAGAGTGGGTTTCTCCAGAAGGTTAATTGTGTCTCTTTAATTACTGACTTGTACCACAGTATAATTCCAATATCATTTGAGCATTAAATATTAGGGTTAACCTATATGAACCAGATGTTCCCAATGTTTCTATCATTGGCTTTGTAATACCAATGTGTAAGAAGACTCTCATCCTGATCTATTGTATCTAATGTATATCTAATTTTATCTATAATTATATGTGCGTTTAATGTTAGTCACGATTGGGTGGGATAATTACGAATAAATTGTCTTCTTATATTTTAGTGTACATTTTACCATCTATTCTTAAATGTTTGTTCATAATAGGAAGGGGTCGAACAAAATGTTGTAAACAGATAGATTTATTTAATGAACATTTGATTATTTAACAAGAGTATATTAAAGAACAGATCTAAATAAACCGGAGGAGACTAACCTTGAAAATTGGTCACTAAATCTTATCCATAAAGAAGATAAATCTATCAATTCTATGGAGTGGGTTTATACAAGAACATGGCATAACGTTTGTCTCAAATGCTACAGTCAATTTGTATTAGCTTTTGAGGTTATACACTGTTAAAGTTAAATAAAATATGTTACGGTTAACAATAAGATGAACTTTCTGTTTGTCTTGGGTAAAAAGCTTGTAATACGACAAAAAACAGTAATTGACGGTAGAATATGTCCTTAATTTGAATTCTAAAATCGGCTACAACTTAAAACGTGCGAATGGGATCTACATCTACCACAATTAAAGGGGGTATTGATCTGTACGGCTTTTTGGCGATTTCTCGATTAATTAATTCTGCCTGGTAACATACTGAATGTAATCAAATAATTTTACTCGTATCGCCCTTATTTGTGCAATTCTTTCTATTTCAATTGTAGAGTTCCAGTGGTAAACATTTATTATCTCAACTCGGATACGTTGAAGTTTAAAATACCTTAGTAATAGATTTACTTCAAATAATACGCCAAGAAAATTATCATAATTATTTACCTGAACCTGAAGAGAAATGAAGACCATTCTTATCGAGACGCGTTTGTGAGTCCATACCTGGAAAAATCATCAATTTAAAAATGTGTTTTATGAATGACAAATGAATTTATTACATGAACACTATTAAAAAGGTAATGGGACTGTACGTTAAGATAAGGTCAGGTTTTGTACGTTATAAATCTTGTTGAATTATTTAGGAACTTTGTTTGCAAAGTAAGATGAACTCAATTAAACTAAAATTTCAACTGGAAATATTAGTTACTACTCACAAATCTGAGTGGCAATTAATTTGGCTTCGTCTTTTTGCACACTTTTTTATTGACAGTACTGTAAAATGTAAAACTTTAGAAAAGATCGCAACTTGTCAAATTATTGCAATTCTCTCGGGAACATTCTCTAAAGAAACAAAGAATTTAAGAAATAACGTCACCAATAAAAGGATGTCTTGATTTAAGTTAAACAAATATCCAATCCTTAAAACATTCGAAACACTACAGACTATTGTGATATGAATAGGACTATAATAATATTCAATAACCCAGCAAGACACATAACTCACTATGAACAAACCAAGTACCGTGGAGATAAAATCTGCACAATTCAACTCTGGTGAAAAGAGAACGAATGCAAAGTAATTTCTGAAGACTTCGCTTTTGTGAAACGGAATAAATATTAGTTGTTCGGTCATAAAGGTCTTTGTAAGGTGGAGGGTCCGTGTAAATTACCTTGGGGCGAGGAAATTGTAAAAATACTTAGACGATAAACTTCGGTCCGGAACCCGCCGTCGCAGTCTTATTCCATCGAGACTTGTGCATATTAAAGACATAATTATAGTCGGTGACAATTAAAGATGTCGCCATTGAAGGGGAGGGTTGTACCCCCTAAATGGAGGGGGTGCCCTGTGGCGTACCGACGCCACGACTTCCGCCCCCCTTTCCCTCTCCTCCCCAAACCGATGCTCCTCTGTCATTCCGCTTAAGTATTTCCTCGATGTGAGAATTAGCTTATAAAATATCGTCCCTCGCCGACATTTTTCTCTGGTCCGTTTAAATTGTGCAACCGCGTAACAGCTGGGGTGAAATAGTTGGTCTTTCCAATGCGTTCTTTGAAAGCTAGAGTATTTTTTATCCATTTATTTATTGTTGGGTAGATAATCAATAAATATTGTGTTACATTTAAGACTGCTTAATTTGACAATCGATAGTTCAACACACTAGGTAATCCGACGTTTAAATATTGTTTGTCGTGTTACAATATTCAAACTAGATTTGTTCTATGCCATGAGTCTTTAGTCTTTTAGGTTGATACGAGCTGCTATACCCGTGCTTTGCAAAGGGAAGAAAATGTGACCTAGATAGACATTACAGTGTATAAGTGGTGCTGATGCGTGTTTTTATACAGCAGCTCTATGATTTAATTTGAAAAGATAAGCTGATTTAAAAGTGTAAACCTACTTAAATTCAAAACTTGTTGATGTCAATAGATACAAAAGAATGTGACAACACACCTTAGTGTACCAATAACATACCTGATAAACTACTTGATATTGATGCTTCTAGATGGCCTACCAAAATTCTTCAATTTTAGTCAAGCCTCTTTACTGTAGCTTACTATATACATTACAAATGAAACTGTGAGCAATACTCTACAAAACGTATACAAACTTTCTTCAACCAAACATAACCCTCTTACTAATCACGTAAATAATGAACATATTTCCTTAATATAAATAAAGCATCACAAACATCTTTTTTGAGTAAATAAACAAGCACCATTTAATTTCACCAACCAGCTGTTTCATTAATTAAATTAAATTAAATCTTTTAAACTTTGGAAGAATATCAGACGAAGCCATTTGAAAATGGGCTTGTGGGGCAAAGGGGACAGAGCCTTTAAGAAATTTGTCCATACCAGTAATTTTCTGCAAATCTACACACTCTAAGCTTCATTTTGATATGCCATATCATATATTTTTATTTAGTAAATGGCCTTAACCGTTTTCATAAAATGTGAATACCGGTTGAGTGAAAGATGAGTATGGTGAATGGTGTGAATCTAAAAATTGCAAATAAATCTCGCACCGTAACAAATCAGCAACTCCACTAACAAGTTCCCATAACCGATTCTGAACAAGGAGTGGATAAAGCGTCAAATCGAATTACCCGCTCTCATCATTGATGCGCCACCACCCCCGTCACTACGCCACTAGACTGTAACGGATCCGCGCGTAGCGAACGGGGCGCGCGCCGGCGACTCTATCAAACTCTATTATCACACTGGTTCCCACATCCAATCATCCCCTCTATTGACACTGAGACTGTGGTCTTATCAGCCACGCGACTGTTATCACCGACTTGTAATTGATAATTGTGTGCAAGGCGTAGCAAGCGGTGGCGTTTTGAGAGTGTTTGGAAAAGTGGGTAGAAGTGACATATGTTTGTAATATTACGTTCAGTTTTTGTACCTGATTAATTTTAAATGAATATGAATTTCAATTAAAACAAAATTTTATTTATAGATTTGTATTGACTGACAAAGGAAATTCACTTACAAGATAATCTTGTATTTAGAGCACTGAAATAGTAATATAATTTTACAATTTTTCTAGTAAATAGAGGCTGTTTTTAATTCTTGTTCCATGGCGTGTTTTATGTAAAGTTTATTAAGTGTCCTTGTGAATTTCAAAAATAATACAAAAGTGCTGATATCAAACTTATTGAAGCAAATGATCGACTGTAATATGTTGGAAATATGTCCATCATAAAAATTCAACCATTTGACTTATTTACTAATTCCATACTTAAGCTATAACAACCATCTCGGATGAAAGGTTTTAAGCTATTTTAATGCTCGAACCCGATTAAACTGTTTCGAGCATTATGATACCAAATTATTAAATAAATAAACACAGTTCATCATTATTACTGCACTTTTTTATATGTTTTAATGATTGTGAAACAAAAAGCTTTATTTTTTTGTCTTTTACAAACGTTACCCCGTAATTGAAACCGTCCCAAATTTTCAATTTTTAAAAGATTTTTTTGCCTATTTTCAGTGGCAGGCCGGGAGAGCACGACGATGCTAATTTCAGAAAAACCAAGATAATTAAAACGTTTCACAAGACAAAAAACACGAAGAGTGAGTATTTAATCAAGGGGAAGCCCATTATACGTGTCGGAATCGCGGCTAGTGTTTGCGTTAACGACTGCATTATCACCCCCACCCCTTCACCCTTGGCATAATTGTTCATTTTTATGCCCATTTTAAGCTGTGGTCACACTTACTGTGATAAATCGTTTCAAACAAAAAAACTTTTAAGGACGGCTATTGTGAAAACCAACAACACTAACTGAAGGTTACAACACGATTAAAAAAATTGATTACTTTGGAACCATGTCAATAATTAATAATGCAACTGAGTGTAGTACACATATTTAAATATGTATCAATTTTAGTGAATTTATCAATTTTATGGATAATTATTAATCATCATCTGTGTGCTTTTTCTAGGTCCGGAGCCAATATAACTCTTATTTAAGTATAATCAGAAGAAAAAACATGAGTTCAGATTGTCCGTATTTTCAAAGACATTTTCCATTAGTCAACGTATTTTAGTATAATATTAATCTTGGAATATATCATTAGTATTCCTTTTGTAAAAATTGTAATATTTTAAGTCAAATTCGCTTATTTTTGCATGTATCTATACGGTGTTGCACATTCCACCGTGGGTTTATAAGGTGTATCCTTTGAATATTAATACAACAGCATCCAATAATCAATGGTAAGATAAAGGCGTTTATGGGCTCATCTGATCAGAAAACCTCTCAAATTAGCACTTTGAGCATCTTTTTTCTTTTTATTATGAATGTGTTTGGTGTGAATTCCTTTTTTTTAATTCTTGGATACCAATTCCGTATGACAACTTGAAATTAGCTATGTATACTCTTTTGCTGCAACGAGAGTATTATCTTTGACTATTAATACAACTTCAGGATCCAATAGTCAATGGTATTATGTTAAAAATGATGTTACATTAAAAATGAGTCAGATCAAGGTAACTCCAATACTGAATGAAGATAGCCAGGAAAAGCTCAAGAAAAACAGCATCTTTGTTTGAAAAATATTTATAATTTAGCAGGTTGTAAAGATTTACAGAAAAAAGTTACCCAGAAGTGATGGGATGTATGCTTCAAATCCTTATACAAAAGGTAAACAAGGCTATTAATATTTGATCAGGTGATGATGTAAAGACAAGATGAGAAATATTACTTCTCTAACAAAAACAAATTATGGTTTGTGTTAATTTTGTTCTGCTGCTTTCCTTGATGTCAGTCAGGCATTTGGAAGAAAAAAAAAAGAAAAAAAAAAAAAACTACAGTAACTACATTCGCTCTTTGGCTAACACAAGCGTTGCCTGTACGGTTAACTATAACTATCAATGCATAGAGTTAAATGTTATTATAATGAGTTTAGAATAAGTTGCAATTTAAACAAAATCACATTAAATTGAATATTTAAAGAGACGTAACATAACCTCCCTAGCCCCTGGAGTGTATGTAGAGTAACAGCGGCGACGATGTGGGATCTGTCGCACGATTGGCACGAATTATCCGACGATTCCACCCCTCTTGGGGAATTAAGGGGATCCAGAGACGCCATTTTGGCTGCTGCATCTTTATTTGACCCCACAAGCCTTTATTTGGCCTCGCAAGCATTATGACGCCACGTCCCTGAACCTCGCTCCGCATTCCGTTTTTCTTATTCTTAGAAATATTAACTATTTGTAGCCTAGGGTAAAAGTGTTATGAAGCAGCAACCTACAAATTTAAATTTAAATCCTAATAAAAGTCGGACCTATGACATACGGTATAATTAACTACAGTAAATTAACCAATCTCTCTTGCAAAAGCCTGATATGTATCATTTGTCAAATATAAATTACTAACTTACATGATCACATAGTATTTGTAGTTGTTATTAAATTATGTTTTGAGAAATTTTAAATTTAGTGGCAAACCTAGAATTAATAAAATTACCTAAAAATACTGCTACGATATTAAAACCTGATTTCATTAGGTTTCGCAGTTATATAATAAATAAAATAAATTAACCAGTTTTACTTGGTATCCTCCACCCTAAAAAAATATTGAGTCGACATCAGTGGACACAAATGTTGCCGTCACGAATCACTCATCAAAACAGGATTCAGTTTCTACATTTGGATGGCAGTTTTTTTTTTTAATTCTGAACTAGGGTTACCCGTCGTCACAGACTGGTACATACAGTAAGATGTTTTAATAACGGTGAATTTCCTTAAGCTATAGTTACATGGACAAGGGAGTCGCAACAACGGTGATAGTACAGGGGTTGGTTTGAGCCGAAAATGTTACCATTGAGCTACCACGTTCAGTGAAAACTTCAAAACTACTACATAAAATGTACTTGCTCTCAAGTCAATTCAGTAAGTGCATTTGATAGGAAGTCTTATCTTTTAGTAACACCGTAACAAAGACTAAAACAATGCTGCTTCAAAAGCCTATTCCTTCATAAGAAATCGCTGATTGTTCTTTCGTCTCACATTTAAGAACTATAGGATGTTTAAATTTCAATCTAAAATAACATAACAGTTGGGTAGCAGGTGGGTTGACGTTGAAGGGGTGGGTGAAAGAAAGGGGAGGGATCCAAGAAGCGAAATGAAGCCTCCTAATCACCATGGCAACGTGAAGAAGAGAAAGTGTAGAAGCAGCCAGCGTGAAGACATTCATCTTGTACCCTCCCCTCATGCCCGCCCTGCTAATCTACCCTACACAGGGAATAACAAACTTTTTACTACCCCTTTCCAAACTTTATTGAAGATGTATTGCGCTGAATGTTTGGGCCGAGAAAATATGCTGTATTTTGACATCCAAGATTAGATTGGGGGTGATTTTTCATCGAAACTCAGTAAGTTATTGACGTTCATGTGGTACGAGGTGGATGAGTCTGAGTAAATCATGTGTTTTAAGACACTTTCCAGTTAGTTATAGGGATAGGGCTGCATGTTGACGTTTTAGTCTTGATAAATAATAAAAAAATAAGAAGAAGTACCGCAATTGTATTTCCTAAAAAAATACATTTAACAAAAATAGTATACCCTTGGGAATCAACTAACCATTTTATGCAATAGTTGTGAAATGTATTATATAACACAAACCGTAGTTAGGTGGGTACGTCGTATTTTCACTTCAACTTAATAGGGACTCTCTTCTTAATAGATGATATGATTGCAAGGCATTAACATGCTTATAGAATCAATAAAACCATCTGGTATGTAGTTTATATTTCAATGCACTTGTTTGAATTAAAATATCAATTGCTTGTGTTTACAAAAGTCGTATCATAAAAGGAAAGATCACGCATGCAGCTTTTATCTGCTGATTTCGGCAAGCACAAGGCGAGCTATCTAGATGGCGTTGACAAGTATACTTTGATAAACATCCATATTCAGCACTGCCTTCTAAATATCGCCGTCGCACGAATGCACCCTCATTCATAAGGCAGTGCATGTCTTACATAGCGTGACTTTATACACAAATCGCTGCAACACATAAAAGTTATTTATTCAGTTTTTTACATCCACTGAATATGATTGCTTAATTTTATGGCAAGTTGATTGTGTATTATGCAACCTAGTGGTGGTTTCGCGTTATGGATGGAGGTTTTTCGCAATTATCTTTATGCTTCAGTTTATACATGTAGTTGTCGCTCGACTCACTATAAACAGCCTCGGTCTGAGAATGCCAACATCGTAATTTCAGCTTGTACAACTATAGCGTGACAACCGACTTGTTAACATTATGATGGTTGTATGAAAATTGAAAGAATGTTCCGTGCCTTTTGATGTTGGAAATGGGAGCCAAATACCACGAGAGCTATAATCAAGTTTTGAAGAATAAATATTATAAGTGAAATGATAAGCATAATAAGCTAAATATGATGGCTTTAGGCTTTTTGTTTTAAAAACTGGACCTTCTAGAGTGATGTTATATTTGACGCATAGTGATTGGCCAAGCAGTCCAAAGCCTTGACTCTCCGACCGGGAACAGTACCATAAGCTGAGGGTTAGAATACTGTTTAACGTACTTCGTAACATTGTTTAATGCTGTTGAGGGGTGTGCATGAAGACACTGCCACTGACGGAGCTGAGGTAGGTCGGTCTACAAGCTACTGAGGTTTGTCTACAATATCTTATGATCTACTCACTGTGATGTCTCTTGTCCGTGTGGTCGTCGCGGCGATGGTCGGGTGTGGGGGTGTGCAGCGCGGGAGGTGCAGCACAGCACGGTGCTGAGGCGAGGTCGCTGAAGACACTGCCACTGACGGAGCTGAGGTAGGTCGGTCTACAAGCTACTGAGGTTTGTCTACAATATCTTATGATCTACTCACTGTGATGTCTCTTGTCCGTGTGGTCGTCGCGGCGATGGTCGGGTGTGGGGGTGTGCAGCGCGGGAGGTGCAGCACAGAACGGTGCTGAGGCGAGGTCGCTGAAGGCACTGCCACTGACGGAGCTGAGGTAGGACCCTCGGTCTACAAGCTACTGAGGTTTGTCTACAATATCTTATGATCTACTCACTGTGATGTCTCTTGTCCGTGTGGTCGTCACGGCGATGGTCGGGTGTGGGGGTGTGCAGCGTGGGAGGTGCAGCACAGAACGGTGCTGAGGCGAGGTCGCTGAAGGCACTGCCACTGACGGAGCTGAGGTAGGACCCTCGGTCTACAAGCTACTGAGGTTTGTCTACAATATCTTATGATCTACTCACTGTGATGTCTCTTGTCCGTGTGGTCGTCACGGCGATGGTCGGGTGTGGGGGTGTGCAGCGTGGGAGGTGCAGCACAGAACGGTGCTGAGGCGAGGTCGCTGAAGGCACTGCCACTGACGGAGCTGAGGTAGGACCCTCGGTCCTGCAGAGCTGCCTTGGCCTTCTCTACACTCTGGAAAAATTTAGAATAGACTTACTACAGCCTCATTTTTGAGCGGTTTGTTATTTAATATTCATAATAACCATGGGTTGACATTGTTCTAACAGTAAGACCAGTGGTATATGTTTCGCGTGTTATAACGACCCTAGATTTATACGATTGTAAATATTTCAAGATTGTTAAAATCTCTTAAATATATTTCTATTTGAATTGAATGTTTTTCAATTTAAGAACTTGAGACAAACTGTACCATAAACTACGAACTATATAGTACTACATTTAAATTACTTCTCATTTGTTTCACGTTACCGAGTGATGTATTTTTGATGCCTTCAGCCGAGTAGCCTATGTTTAAGCAACATAGAAAAATGTCTGATCCCAATAGAAATGACCGAATCTTATAAAGCATCAATATTAAGCATCATTATCAGACTATCTATTTGATATTCTCCGCATTTACTCTTTTGGAATTTTCTTAACCCGAACTTCTTGTGATTATGAACCTGCTTGTCCGTCAAGGGGATCCAAATTTAGTGAAGTACATCTGCGGTTTAAGCCTTGGTTCCTGGCCCTATACAGTCCCTTTAGCCTCCTAATGACAAACTCATGTAGTCATACATGAACACCTTTTAAACTCTTGATGCATCCATATTAATATACGGACTTCCAACATAGCTTAACTCACCTGTTTCAGTTGTTCGAACGTGGAGGAGTTGCAGGCAAACCGGTAAGCGCAACCCCAGTCTCCAGTCCCGCTCATGCAGTCTTCGCTCTTGATATTGGTACATCTCTTGAGGTCCAGGGCACTCTGATATGAACACGAGCTCTCGTACATAGCGAGAGATCTGCGGACAAAGGACTAAGTAGAAAGCTTTGCTGCTGTTAATTTTTGGCGACTACAAAGAGTACTCTTAAGAGAAAGAAGGTGTAAAATCATTGACATGGAATTATGCAAGTGGACTTCTCACTATTTTGTTAGACTGAAGCCTATTTTAATATGTGTTTCGCGTTTGTGACGTCTGACTGCACTAATGTAAAATAAGCGCATAAATCTTCTTTTAGGGTAATTATTTTAACAAATATGCGATACTCTTTAATAAAAACTAGAGGCCATCCAGTGGTCAAAAACTCGACCAAAAATATGTAATGACCAGACATTTTTTTTGTCACCCTACGCTGTAAATGAAACGTGTGATTGGAAATTTCCATTTGTTTTCATTTTCTTTATACAGTTTATAGATGGTCATATTGTAAAAAAGATTGGGAAGGGAACTTTACCTAGTTTCTCTACGGAGTTTCTACGCCCAGCCGTTCTTTCAAATTAGTGGAGACAAAGAAAAACAGTTTCAAATTAATAAATAGATACTAGAGGACAGTCACCATTTTCAAATTGGTGGTTAAAAAGTATTCTTTTTTTAATGGTTACATTACAATAAACATATTCAAAAACAAAACGTATTCTGCATAATCCGGACAATCTTTAAATAGTCGTTAGCTGGTCCATCAAGCTGATAAATATAAGGGACTATGTTAAACAGTTAGTTATAGGAACAAAGTAGAATTTTTACACTGGAAAATCAAAGACAATTTGATTGTAGTTATTTTCAACCTTGATAAACGTGAGTGTCGGTTGTACATTCGCTATGCTGTGTTGCACCAAAGTCCGTTTGACCCAGCAGTTAAGTTGTGGCCGATAAACGACAAGCAGAAAAGTTTATTGTCTTCACAATCGAAAACACCGCAAAGTTTGGTCGTAAACCTCGTTCCGCTCAACGGTTCGGGATTACACTTGATTTATGTTTTCTGATCGGACAATTTCGATTATAAGTTGAAGTCTGTAAATCAGTTAGCTTACGTATGAAGTTTGCAAGATGATAAATGAAACATAAATAATATTGGGATTTCAACATTTTCAGTTGAAATATTGAGCTCATAAAAATCTATAACTCTTTCATTATCGTAAAAATTGCGAAATGTTGAACTAGTGTTTACTTTGATATTAATTAACCAATCAACCAATCAAGCCGTATGGAGCCTAATAAATTGGGATTTACCTTGTCACTGGTTAGAATAGAAAATGCCAAACTACTTCGTCTCGAATATTTAAAAAACTATCTCGTGCCGGCAAAACATCATTTTCGGCCCTGGGTACGAAAAGCTAAAAACCCTTTCGGCCCGTGGTACGAACGGTATTTTTCACCACACTACAAAATTGAGAAAATCTATATATTATAGATTATACAATATGCACACTAACCGTCAACACAACTGCAAGGTTATGTGAAGAAATAAGAAACTGGCTTTTATTTGACTAGAATAATAATTGACAATTTAATCCCTCATACAGTTAAAAAGCCTTCTCAAGCATTCGCAACTTATGTTTTAAGTAAATAAGCGAACAGCTGATTTTAGGGCCTATTTTCCATGGTATTGTATAATGTATTGTAACAAAATCGTAATAGCAAAACGATCACGTAGTAGACAGCTGCTTATTTGCTTGAGTAAAATTGAAAACAAGCTAGAAGCATGGATCTCTTTTACTACAACTCGTTTTGAGAGGTTATCTTGACATGATATGTAATTTCGCTGTCTAACTTAAATTGTTGAATAATCATGCAATAAATAGCCTTTGACGAAAAATATAGTTCATTACACGGGCAAAAATTGTCTTCAACCCTCGCCCATTTGCCTTCGCCTCGATCGCAACATTTTAGCTTGAGTCGAAAAGAGTGACTTCCGCCCTAGTGATGAAATATTTATATATTATAGTTTATACGCCAACATGGAATTTGTCTGTTGAACTCCTCCACCATTATTTAACCGATTTTGATCTTTCACGTCTCATTGGAAAGAGCGTGTCATGTAGATGTGAGAACTGGCCTTAATTTTTTGAAAAGTCCCATGGGCTCTACCATAGCCACCAAATAAAAAATAGAAATTTATGTTTAATCTTAATGTCTAATACACATGTGTATTAGACATTAACATTAAACATGAAGTTTTACAGACTTGGTTGAAATGAAATATTTACTTTTTGAATTTGGGTTTGCGTACATATTACATTGGAAAAAAGCGAGAAAGCCTGGACGTTTTGATATATTTCACCAAAAAAGAAAACTGAATTGACCCCGTACTGTATTTTTCGAGCAATCATCTAAAGAACCACCAATTTGCAAACTATGGAAAATAGAAAAGTTTGTCTTCTTCGCCTCTAAATATAGAAGAAATAGAGATCATGTGTTTTATTATTATTGTTGTTATTAGGCTATAACTAAGAACCCCTACAAGATGTTCTTCATTTGCACATTCCTACAACATTCATAAAATGATGAACGAGGATGTTAGCAGGCGTGCTACAATTTTTAGTAGGAAACGTGGACTTAACTTTGTGATCATTGCAGAGGCAAGCCCTCTAAGGCTAAATAAAACTGGTACTTCAAGGACATTCAATCTATGTATTCATGAAATTTAAGTGATTTTAGAAGAATATGACTACATCCAAATTCACTAATAAAACTTTCATTGAATGATTCAATTATCATTCAAAGTTAAGGGAACAAAAAAAAACACTTGAACAACATCAGGTCTTTTAACTCAGCAGGTAAATATAATTGAAGTTATTACAGCAACTTATCAAATACATGCCAATTGAAACAGATAAAATTGTGACAGACAAGTTATGCAGGAAATCAGGTAGTTCTTAAGTAATGTGAACAAATTGTATAGCTATTTAAAAAAAGACAGAAATTTTCAAACATACGGGTGACAATGAAATGAAATTAAACGAAAAATGTCTTTAATTAAGAGGCGAAGTTAGGACTTGCAAGTCCTCTCTACCATATAACCTCTAAAACATAAATACAATTTAATAATCTAAAGTCCGTATTATAAACATGATGAAATTAAATTTACTTGGGGTGTACCATGTAGGCTACATTATCAATGATGAGTATAATCACGTACAACCTATTGCTGCTATGGGTAAGCTGGGAAAGATTTGTAGATAACACTCAAGATTAGTTTTTTTGATGGTTCGAAGCTGAAAACCAGTGATTATATTGTGTAAAATTATTATATAGTGTGACCGTGATTATGATCTCTGAGGTAATTGGTTTCAGTTAAACAAACAGCTGATCAGTCAGTTAACAAAACCACAGTTTCACTAACCTGGGAAAAATTACCACATGCTGCACTCATTTTTAGCTTAAAATACGTACACATAGTGCAAATGTCTTGGTGAAGTGGTTACATGATTTATGAGCTCTAGGAAATGTTTGAAGAACTACTACACACTTTCCACACTTAAGATTTGTAAACTGGGGCGTACGAATCTTATTTGGTCAATCAAACCTCAACATATCGAATGAAGAATCAATATTTGTAAAAAAGGTTTTAAGGGCATTTGACAAAATATTTCAAACATTTGTGGTCTTTATAAAATATTTTGATCGCTGGTCCTTAGCGCAAAATAAGAAATTGTTAGTACCGTTCAATCACAAGTGAATCCAATCTTAAAGAAGATACACATAAAGCCTATGAGTAGCCTGTAAAATAACAACGGGCTATATCCTCATTTACACGCTACCTTACAACGTTCCACGGGCAATGTAACAGTTTTATGCCCACGAAATGTAAGTGGATGCAATTTAAAGAAAACAAAGGGCCGACGTGGGTTATGGACCAGTTACAACATATTGTGATGGTGACTGGTGGCGGCCGGCGCGGCGCGGCGTGGTGGGTAAAGCCTCATAAAACTGCTGCTAATGCCTGCCTCCACCTGCCCCTCCTGGACGAATTGCCTTACTTCCTTTACACTCCTGGGCCGTTTTGTGAGGTGTTACTCTTGAAATGAGATTCTTAGTTGTGATACTTACATAGTTTATGCCGTAAGACTACATAAATCATGCTAGCGTTCTTTTGTAGATATCCCTGTGCGTTGAAGTTTGAAAATGGTTAACAGTCGCTAATTCAAAATAGGCTACATAAAAGAGAAAAACAAAAACATATTTTTAGTTCAGACCAAAAGCTCAATGATCAAGGACAGCAAAGTCAAATTTTAATACATAATTTTCCTCCTTTAATCAATGTTTAAATCGGCGACCTTCTAAATTCTTAACCCCATTAAAGCTGGTCATTATGAGGAAAAATAAAAAAATAACAGTAAAACTGCGTAATTTAAAAAAAATATTCAAAATGTATGGACCTATGTAAAAAATATAATTTTTGACGGCCTAACACTGATTATATTGCGGGATTTTTTAAATATAAAGGTTAAAGTAAATTTGAAATATTAACTTGTTATTATAGTATCATGTTATTATAGTCTTGTCATGGCATTGACTATAACAAAATTGGGTTGCACATGACTTTTCCAATAATTCAGAATATACTTCTTTACTTCAATGTTATCGTTTTACAACCTGCGATTATAAAGCATGGATATCCATGTGAGCTATGAATCGAATAGATTTGACTATATTCTTTTAAGTCCTAAGCAGCTTTTATAATGTGAGTGATAACAATAATTTGAAAATGAAAAAAAATGTGCTAAGTATAAAAGAGGTTGCGTTTCAAATGAATATTAAACATGTTTATTTGTCGAAATATTATTTCAATGATCGAGTAAATTCTGTATCATTAGATGGTAGCAAGATAATTCAGTCCAAATTTTAACGGGGTTTCTTGGTTGATCTAACGAGAAAGTGGCATACAACTCCTTTGAATTACCTTTTTTTTAACGTGTTTAGTTGAAGAAGTTTTTAGGACACAATGAATTACAAGAACTCTACATTATAAAAGTACTCAGGCAAACACACAATTTACATATACACATGGCATAGCTTAT